TCATTTGTATTATGACATTTAATATACAGGACAATATTCTAAGCACACTAAAAAGTTTTGTTCTGGACACTTTCTTTCCCGTTGGATTTTATGGCATCTTCTTTCCCACATTTTAATCACCCTACAGTACTACGAACGCATTAACTTAATGAAAGAAATAGTTTCGTTTATGTTGATTGGTTGTGCACAAAACACAAGAAGCCTTGCAATCTAGAGATCGACCAAGCCTTCAAAAAATAAAAATAGAATAAATAAAGAAATAAAACTCACCGTTTAGTTCAGTTCGGAATGTTTTTTGACATCAAGAGACTTTGGTTAGGAATTCCAAACTTTCAGTAAAATGAAGTAAAATTATAACTATAGAAATAATTGTATGAGTTTTCTTAAGTTCGTATTTTATAGACACAGATACTGTTGGGAGCGTGGCTCCTTCTAATTGCTCCGAGCAAGTTGCAAGTTATGTCCTAGCGTAGATTGATTCACCTAATTTCTCGCGACAGTAATTCTATAAATTATTTGACATCTTATATTTTTAACATAATATTTTATAAAAATGACATAAAATTAATTTTAAATTATGAAATCATAAATAATTTGTGAAGTATCTCACTTTAAAATAATCTTTTTAGCATTTCTTTTTTTTTATTTTATCAACACTATCATAATTTTCTCTTGAAAGAAAAACCATCGTATTGTGACACATGTATTTGGGAATGTGGATTCCATTTTTTAATCAATGTGACAACAAATCATTTAAATGATAAGACAATTCATCACTCCAAGAAATACTGAAATTTAGATTTTTGGACATCAATAATTTAAAAAAAAATTCAATATGTTCGGATCACGGTGATTAGTCATTATACAAGAAAATAGACATTTGAAATATATAAAAATTTCTCTCAACTTGTATCATAACATATCACATAAAACCTCATGTTTCGGACACTAAAAAAATTTCCAACAATTCACAGGGAACCTAAATAACCTACATGATCATTTCAGCAAAACCAAATAACTGAGCCTTAGTTAATGTTTCTGCTATTTTAAGACAAATAGTCAATCTATCCAATGCAATAACCCATCATCTCTCACATAAAATACAACATCAAACATTCCAAACAATATCAAATTACATTGACCCCCCCCCCCCGGGCCATGCATTCTCTGTTCCTATACCAACCTTTCACATAAAATAATCAATTTAATAATATACTAAAGTTGTGTTGTGGGAGAAGATCATATGCATGCTTTAGAGTATGCATTACTAAGATACTGTGGATACTTTACAAATTAACAAATGCTTCACATTTATATATAAATATATATATTTATGTACAAACAACGGATTTTGTATCGATAATGTGGATATTTTCTTTGATACGTTGTTATCATATGCTTTCTACTTATGTTATCAATGTTTTATCAATATATATATATATATATATATATATATATATATATATATCTTATATCAACAATCTATCCTTTAATAAAGATATATCCTATCTAAAGAAGAAATATTTGTATGTAACAAAAATATTAAATATATCAAATGGGAGGTGTGGAAAGGATGGGAAGAGCAGAGATTCCCACTTCTTAAAATGGGAGAAAGGGATGGGGCAATTTATCTTTGACCATGAGGACTCTCACTCACTCTATCTATTGTGCCATCCTTTGCTTCCGTATCACCTCTTCTCCCCCAAATATCAATTTTTGGAAGAGAGCTATTCAAAAATTGAACAAAACAACAACATATTGTATAGACCATAAACGATAACTACCACCTATAAAATCCAAAGCTAATTCAATTGTTACCCCAAAACACACTTCTTTTGCTTGCATCACCACCATCAGACTTTGTCTCCAAAATTATTAATTTACTCGTAACTTCATGCATTATAAGATCCCAAAAATAACTACAATAACAGAACTCATTTATGAATTATAACACCTCTCTCTCTCATGGAGGACATTACATAGATGGGGGGTTGGCTTGGTGACAAGAATCCACAGAGAAAATTATATAGATGGCAATGTGTGTCACTATCATATGTTTGGCTGAGCAATGAAGGTGACAAATGTTTGGTTATATGCTGTAAGTAAGTAAATTACACGACATTTGCTGCACGGTGTTAATGAGACGACGGTTTCTAGTAAAAAGAAAAGGACGGTCAAAGGGACAGTGTAATGTTTCTGTCAATTTTCCTTGGTGTCAGGGTGGGGAAATAAAACCACTGATAGCTCCTTTTGGTCATCATTTTCTTCACACAATACACAGTGAGAGAGATACAGAGAGAGAGAGAGAGAGAGAGAGAGAGAGAGAGAGAGAGAGCCCAAAGCCTCAAACACTTGAACGTTGCATTGCACTTGTTCATTTAATCTAATTCTCTAACTAACTGGGGCTGTTCTGATCGAGCTACAAAGGAAAGTACACTGTACTGTTGCAATGCAATATTTCAGTGTTATGTAGCGATTTTAATTTTATAATTTAATTAACATTGTTTACTAGAGTTTAAAAACTATAAAATTCTCAACTTGAAATGTTGAAAGCTGTAATTAAACTGAAAATCCGAAAATTGTTACCGTCAACATTTTTATGTAACATGGTTTGTCTCAACAACAGGCCAGTACTCTTCTTAAACTGGTTGCAACTTTTCCACCTTGTCTGTAAAGCTTAGTAATGGCCGGCCCTCTACTTAATTGGAAAAGTGCCATTATGAAGTAGCAGAAGGTAAGACTGTTACAAGCTGCAACTCTGTACGTGTATTATGGACTAAGGTTTCCCGAACCCAAATAGCTCTTGCACCCACACTGTTTTGACTGTGCAATATCTATACCGGGCTCTAGCAGCAATATATATGAATAGCAACTAGCTACAAGCTAGCATGCATGTCTCAACACCATACGAAACCAAGTCACAAATTTATGTTTGTGGCAAAACTTGCTTCTAGTGAGTGTGCGAGTATCGTATCGGAAAATTGAAAGACTATGCATGTGCATATCAAGAATTTGATCACTTCCCAACTGTTGATTAATTGTAGAATCTCAACTTTTTTAATAGTAAAAAAAGGTTATCTCACTATTGAGCTCAACGACCTATGTGCTTTCACACCGCCTGATACATATATGTGTTGTTCATGTGTTTGATTTAAATGACTGCACACTCGAGGGCGTTGTTAAAAGTGTAAATCCCATATCGAAGGTAACGTTAATAGTAGGGATGATTAGGGTTTTGTTCTTTAAAGGATGAGGGTAATTAAGAGCACTTCCAACGTGCCCCAATTTTCTTGGGGATTGGCTGTTAAATTATCCAATGCCCTGGCAATTGGCTCTAGCCCATTCAAATAGCTTGGGCTCCATGTGAGCTCAGGCTCTCCACCGGGCATAAATCCAGGGATATGACACAAGGCTAACGTTATGGTGAAGTCAGTCACTAATAAAAACTATAAAATACTAATATAAATTAATTAAAAATACAATAAATTATAGAAAATTAATTAGAAATACAATAAATTGTTTTATAATGAAAATAAAATTATTTTCTATTATTTTATAAAATAAAAATACTAATATTTTATTATGAATTGCCTTGACCATTCAATTTAAAGGTGAAGATGAACTTGAGCAATTACTGTTCACTAGAGACAATTATTGTTCATTATAGGGGATTGGTTGCCTCTAACCCAGGGGAACCTAGCAACACTTAGAGCAAGTCCACCGGGGCTTGCTTTGCCCAGGACCCAGCACAAAAAACAAACTGGCCCTCAGTCAATTTGCTCCAGCCCACAAAGTTGCCTGGCACCCAGCCCATGCCAAGCAACAGACCAGCCCAGTTTTGACAGACCCAAGAGCCGGCCTATTTGGCTGGCGCGTGCACGACACTCGCGCCCAGGGCGAGTAGCCGACAAGCTTGCAGAGGGCTGTCATCCCACTTGTGCTCCGGAGTGACGCAGCATGCTCATAGCCGTTGGATTTCCAACGGCTAGTTTTTCTAGACCATTGGATTTCCAACGGTAAAAAAAAATTTAAATTTGACTTTTAAAATGGACCGTTCGATCATAGATCAACTGTCCACGTTAATTAACTAAATTAAAATTTATTAAAAAATACAGAAAAATTATTAAAAAATACAGAAAATTAAAAAAAAATTTCTATAAATACCTAACCCTCATCTTCCACCTTACACCACATTTCAATATTTTCTACACTTTCTACCAAAGCTTTCATATACTTTTTGTGTGAAAAAAATACCAAAAAGCTTGTGGTTGAAGAATAAAGAGTATTTGATGAGTTTATGTAATTTCATTTTAGTGTGTTTTTTTTTATAGTTTATTTGATGAGTTTTATGTAATTTTATTTTAGTGTGTTTTTTTTTTTTTTTGAGTTTATTTGATGAGTATGTAATTTTATTTTAGTGTTTATTTTTTTTTTAAGTTTATTTGAAATTTTATCCGAAATTGGTTAAAAATCTTATCCGAAATAAACTAAAAAAAAAAAAACACACCAAACAAATGCGCTGGGTGCTAGCGCATTTTTTTAGGGGTGGAGATACTTTGGCCTATTACTGTTCACTCCAGTCTATCACTGTTCACTTGAGTGGATAAATGCGCTGGGTGCTGGCGCAAAATCCTTAGGGGTGGACTTGCTCTTAAAGTGCTCTGAGAAAGCTTCATTCATCGTGGGATTGCAAATGATCGAGTGGTAGGTAATACGTAGTCAATAAGTGTGTCAGAAGTCAGATCAATGATAATGCATAGGGGGTTGTAGGAACTACTAAATACTACTACTCATGATGTAGTCTGATGAGAATAATAAGGTTTGGTCGTTTCTCTGATAATTCATCATAATTGGAACGAAGTAATAAGCAATACTACTCATGAGATGGGATAGTAGTTTTTGAATCAAGGGATTTAAATCAAGACTGTTGGGAACCGGGAAGACATACAAGGTGGGGCCTCAGGGAAGCGTTTTGGTAAAAGCAATCAAAGAAAAATTTATTTCACTACTTCAGTCTTCCACACTACTGAGAGAGAGAGAGAGAGAGAGAGAGAGAGAGAGAGATTATATTATAAAAAGGGTGATAGGATGTGGGGGTTTTGCTTCTCTTGAGGATAGGTAAAGAATATTGGAAGAGGAGAGAAAAAGGTAATTAAGGAAAACATTTGAGAGAAATATGGAAGAACATCTGAACCCCTTAGCTGTGACTCATCTGCTTCAACACACCCTGAGAAGCTTGTGCATTCATGAAAACTCTCAGTGGATTTATGCAGTCTTCTGGAGGATCCTTCCTAGAAACTATCCACCACCCAAGTAAGCAGAGGCAAAAATTGAAAAGTTTCCAAAATAATTACAGAAAAAAAAGGTTTTTTTTTTTTAATTAGTACATCTTTTCTTCGAGTACAGTTCCCACAAAGTTACTCTATTGAAATTAATATTTTCATTAATAATTTTGGTTTTATAACAGATGGGAAGGTCATGGAGCTTATGATAGGTCAAGAGGAAACAGAAGGAACTGGTATATATATTAATTTAATCAATGTTTTAGTTAGTTTAATCCAGTTTTCATAGTATAAAATAGATTCATAGCTAGGTTGTGTATGCATCCAATTATATATATAATACTTGTGCGTGAATAACTATATCTGTGTGTGTGTGTGTGTGTACATGCAGGATATTGGTTTGGGAAGATGGATTCTGCAACTTTGGTGCCTCCTCAGCAGCTCATGAGATCAACTCCAGTTCTGATCAGTGCCCTGCAGGACCTTCATCAATGTATGGCAACTCATGTGATCAATTTCAACAAAACAATGGCTTGCAACCTGAGCTTTTCTTCAAGATGTCCCATGAGATCTACAACTACGGAGAAGGGTAATTAACCTAGTTATGATGAAACATATGTATCAAGATTGATTAATTAGTTAATTAATTACCAAATTGGACTACTTTTAACTTTGTTTTTCTCTTAGTGTACTTGATCACTGAGCTCTAAAACCACTAATTAATCTGGAAGAACATTTATATGTAGTTACTGATTTTTGTTATGTAGGTATGTAGTTATTATTGTTGTTATGTAGGTTGATAGGGAAAGTGGCGGTAGATCATAGTCATAAGTGGATACACAACGAACCAAATGATCAAGAAATCAACTTCTTATCAACATGGCACAACTCAGCAGACACGGTATATACACTAACCTTATTGGTGTAGTTACTACTGATCTATCAATGCTTCTATATACACTTAAGTTTGTTATTTCATGCTGCATAAACTAATTACAGGCACAATTATTATGTATGTACACCCTCGACCCTCGTTTTATTTCAATAATATATCGTCTAAAATTTTACTTTTTTTGCCTCAGCACCCTAGAACATGGGAAGCCCAGTTCCAGTCTGGCATAAAGGTACTTAATTAAGCATTATTAAACCCCAGACCACAAAAATTCCAACAAAAAAAAAATCAGAAAATTTGGTTCTAATTTGATGATTTTCTTTTGTTAAATATATCTTGCAGACCATAGCCCTGATAGCAGTTAGAGAAGGTGTTATTCAGTTAGGAGCTGTTCACAAGGTGAGACTAGACTCTCTCTCTTTCTCTCTCTCTCTCTCTCTCTCTCTCTCTCAAGAACAATTGAATGTTCGTTTTTGATAGGGAACGATATTCCCTCTCTCAAAAACTAAAGTAATTGTACATCAGAGATGACGGCAAAATATACTTATGAATGTTTGTCTTTTGATTCGAAACAACATCGGACAAACTTTAACTATACATCTTTGATGGCTGCAAGATACTAATGAATGTTTGTAAATCTTGCAGGTGATTGAAGACTTGAGCTATGTAGTTCTACTAAGAAAGAAGTTCGGCTACATCGAAAGCATCCCCGGAGTGCTTCTCCCACACCCATCATCTCCACCCTTCCCCTTCAAGCCTGATCCTCATCATCATCATGGCTATACATATGGTCTCACCCCAGATCACCATCATCATGCATGGCATCTCCAAGCAGGGACAAACCCTCTTGCACCACCTCCAACTCATGACTTCATGTATGATCATCACCAATATCTCAACCCTAATCAAGTGGTTCCTTTGAAAAACATAACCCCCTCCATGAGCAGCCTTGAAGCCCTCCTCTCTAAGCTTCCGTCGGTCGTGCCGACGAATCACGATCATCATCCTCAGCCGCATGATCAATCCCAGTTTTTATTATCTCATGGTCATGGACCTGTGGATTTTATGGCAATGACGGACCAGAAAGTGGCCAAGGAGGAAACTAGTGACAATGATGATCATGTTCGTAACGAAGAATATAGGCCGTCCGATGATCAAAACAACGTCGGTGAAACCAGCACTTCTGTGTCTGCTTATGCCCATCAACAGCAACAGTATTTTCATCACCACTAATTATTAATTAAGCGATAACCAGTAGTTTTTAATTAATTTCATTTGGTCGTCGGCTTCATCATATATAGAATGAAGATTGATTATTTCTAACATTGTATAATTAGCGAGCTCTCTTATATATAATCCTATATTAAAACTCAAAATTTTTAAACTTTTTTCATTAATTTTCCTTATAAATAACACTTTTTTAATTACTTCGTTTGTGGTCGAGTCAAAGGCTTGCAGAAAATAGGACAACTGCAAACGGCAAGAGGATGCATATTTATGATGAAAACAAAATTGGACAGTATAGCTGAGATAACTGTTTTGACTTATTTCAATAAATAAAACAACAAAAGTTTCAATAAATAAAACAACAAAAGCAGTCATAGTATTACTAAATGAGAAATGTTAAGAGCACTATTTTAAAGTGAGTCTCCAGTGACTGATTAGACAAATGGCAACGAAGCATTTTAGAGATTGTCCCCTTGCTTCATTTCATACGGAAAATGATCATCCCGTGATCGTGATTATTCATCGTACATCTTACAGTCAGAAATTATTTTAAAATTTAAAATTAAATATAAATAGTACCTGATGAAAATTGACCGCACGATATATAATAAACGATCATAATTACAGAATTCCTAAGATCTCCGGAAAAAAAATCCAGCGATGATCGTTTTCCATTTCACACTACTCTTATAGGTATGCAAGGAACACGTGCTGTCGAGACAGTCAGCAACTACCTATCCCACCGTCCACGTGCCACCTGAAATGAAAATTAGAACCTTGCACAGAGCTTTTCCGTTTACAGGTCTACTAATTTAAAAAGAAGGGATATGTAGTAAGATTGGGCGTCACGGGATTGGCCCTTTTGGAATTGGATGATATGTTTCTCCCAAACGGAGGATTTGGAAATGGAAAGGGCAGCGGCGCGGACATCAAGCTATGCAATGCCGTGTGTTTTGACCTTTCACAACTTTTTCCTTTTCCTTTTTTCCGCTGTTTGGGAAAGTGGATTGGCTGTGTTGAACTGAATCCAGTCCAGTCCTGTCCGATCCCGATTCTATATAAAGGCTTAAAGTGTTGCGCCACTTAAGTGGGACTCTGTATGCTGGCTCATTTTGGTTTGAGGCAATGAGTCGTTTTTAGGTTTGTGTCATATTCGTGTCAAGTTACGGATTGATTAACATGTAAAGTGGTATTACGTAATAACTTAAGTGGTATTACGTTATAATATTGAGTAAATTACATTTTATACTTTCAAATTTAGATGCACTTACTTCTTCATAATTAAAACTGTTAATTTGACCGTTAAGTGATGACGTGACAATTTATTTGAGTGTACTTGCAACTTTATAATTAAACTGTTAATTTGACTGTTAAATGATAGTATGACAACTAGGGTCCTATATTTTTGCTGATGTGATAGTTTGTGCATACCATGTAAATAAAAAAGAGAAATTTTATTTGGACCCAATAAACCTATTTCTACACCCATTAATTTTTTGTTAAATTTTATATTCCAATGATGCCCTAAAGAAAAGATGGGTGTAGAAAGATATTATCAACTGGGGAATCGGTGGGTAAAAATGGCCTTGAGAGCCACAATTGGTGGCCGGGTGGGTTGCCGGAAATTGGAAAAGGGATTGCCGGAGGGTGGAGAAGAACAACAAAAATATAGTGGAGGGCGGTTATGGTCTTTGACGACATTAGGAGAATGTGTCACCAGAGCTGGGTTGGGTTCATCGAATAAATATAGGGGCTGTGATGTTGAAATCGACCACTCTCTCTCTCTCAAATTTTGGTTTCTCATCAATTCTATCTTCACCCAAATTCAAATGACTACGAGCTTTGTCATCCTTGAAAGCATATATAGCTTTTTAACTTGTCCACATATGGAACTTCATCCTTATTTAATTTTAGGATTTGCAAGACTGCACCGGTCTTTTGAGCTACAATTTGCTGGGTTTTTATAATTAGTTCATTGAGGTTTAAGGAGATAATAGTCAGACCAAAATCCAACCCCATGTAATTGGGCACGAAGAATTGAAAAACGACGAGATAAAGAGCAGATCGGTGGCGATAGTTTCTGGAATAACGACCAGAATCAAGTCTGGTTGCTGCCAGGGTAGGTGGTTAGGTGGGTTTACATGTTTGTGTAATTTTTTTCAAGTATGTAAATTTTGTGTTTGAGGGTAAAATGATAAGTTTGCGGAACAAAATTTATAAGTTGGATGTGAAAAGAGGATTAATGGGTTTAAATAAAATTTCCCAATAAAAAAAAAAATATATATATATATATATATATATATATATATATAAAACAAAGAATTAATTATTTAAATAAGCCAAAATGAGAGGCCACCCATAACCCCGTTCAATTCACCAAATCCAAATGTAACTAATGATTTAATCACTTAAAATGTGTATTAATAAGTTCAAATATTTAACGAGACATTCAACGAAAATTGTACACATTAAAGTACACATCAAAAGACAATCTAACACCAAAATTTAATTGAATTTCAATCTTTGACATCAAACTTGTGGAAGATATAATTTTTATCGAATCCATTAACATGTAAGATTGTATTCATCAGTAGAGACACAGCTTCACCGTTGCCATTCCATCTCTAATGGAAAGCTTCAACTTCAGCCTTGAAGTGCTGGAGTAGATTTTCCATTGTCATTACCGTGACGTCTCCGTGGTCTCGAACTCGTAAGCTCACCTGGAACAATACGGATCAAAGATTTAACTTCTCAACCAAATAATATATAAGACGGTTGAACTAGCGTGAAATATAACATGAATGAATTAGAGAACAAGAAAAGAAGAGAACCTGCCCAGTCTTGACTTCCTCCTCGCCAACAACTAAAATGTAGTTGTACTGCGCTATCTGAGCTTCTCGCACCTGCAGGACAAACACAATCAGGCAACAATGAACAATCTGTCGGACAAAAGGTATTATGGTTAAACAGAATATCAAAGAGCCTCGAATCCAATTCTGTTTTCACCGGAGTTGTCCGGGTTTATGAGATGGGAGAGAGCCAGCTCCCATTTTGGAACCACTAAACCCAATGGACATCTAATAATTCATAAAATAACAAACAAAATGAAACCAAAAATGTGATGCAGAGGACAACAGTGATTTCTTACCTTCTTTTGGATGGTTCTATCACTTGTGTCAACATCCACATAATAACCAGCTTCGTGGATACGGTCCCGAACCTACAAAATTGCAACAACAATACCTTATACATGACTTAACAATACAGAATAATTTAACCTAACTATCAAAGCCGGAAAGTGTGTATGCCATTTACTGCATTTATATGGATCCCATATCCAAAAAGGGGCATGACAAAAAGTTCATACAACCTCATAGTGGTCAACCAATAAAAACCAGAAAAGCACTATCATACTACCTCCTGAGCGTAAGGTTGGGATTTGTCCGAGACGGGGCAAACAATTGCTTGACGTGGACTAAGCCAGAAGGGCCATTTCCCTTTGTAGTTCTCCAACAATATAGCAAACATACGCTCAACAGAACCTAAAACAGCTCTGTGTATCATAACGGGTCTCTCCAACTTGCCTTCTTCCCCCTCTGCTGAGTAATACAGCTCGAACTTCTGAGGAAGCTGAAAATCAAGCTGCAACCACAATATTTTCAATGACAGTCAGATAGTTACACAGCAACCAAAAACAAAATGAAAGCGGCATAAAACATAAGGGAACTGATCATCAGATACCTGTAGTGTTGCACACTGATATTTTCTGTTCAATGCATCAGAGACACTGATATCTATCTTTGGTCCATAAAAAGCACCATCCCCTTCATTTATCTGTGCAGCACAACTAACAAAGTAAGCATCCAGACACAAACAAGAAATTCAGGGGGGCCTAATGTACAGCTTAAGAAAACAAAGCACAGATAATGGACCAGATTGGCAACCGAACAATTACAGAAATTTGTCAGTTCAATCTATGTCAATGGTAAAACGGTGGAGTAGATAATGGTTTATGGGTCAAATCTATCAATTCAGCTCAACGTGCTTTATTTAAAAAATGCTGCTCAGCTACAATGAGTTTTGAACCTATTTTGGACTGAGCTAAAAAATAAATATGACTACCCTGGTTCCACTACAATGAAAGTTGTATAAATTTTACTATCATACTGCATATAAGTAAAAGTACCTGCCAGGGCTTGCCAAACTCATTTAATGCGTCTGCAAGGGCAGCCTCAGCTTTCTCCCATGTTGCCAAATCTCCCATGTGTTTTTCTGGCATCTGCAATGGAAATACCCATCAAATGCGGTGCAACACAACAAATATGAAATTTGCATCCTTGAGTAATGAAGTCAAGAGGTTTGAAGCTTTAACCATAGGTAGCAAGAATCTTACTGTTGATAGCTTCAGTTCAAAAGAAAAGCCAAAAACATTATAGGCATACTGGATAAAATCCAAGACACCCTTCACTTCATCTTTTACCTGACAATAGAAGCACAAAATACAAAAGGCTTAAGAACAAAACAAAACCAAAAAATTTAGACAGTTATGTACATTTCATTTAACCTCGACTCACTTGGGATTCCCTGCAAAAGATATGGGCATCATCCTGTAGCATATTTTGGACTAAAACTTGTCAGAAAGGTATACATGTAACCAGAAAATTAATAGAAGAAAAGAATGACAAAAAATATAAATCTTCTGGTAATAAAGTGCATCATTAAGGTCACTGACAAGCATATTAGAAATATGAGCTCCTAATGAACTAACAAACCAGTTGATGACAAACATGAGACACCTAAATTAAAGCTAAACCAAGGCTGTGGAAGTATACCTGCTGGAATCTCCGTACGCGTGTTAATCCAGTCAGTGCACCACTGGCCTCATTGCGATGCAAAACACCAAAATCAGCGAGTCTAAGTGGAAGTTCTGTCGTCAAGGTTTAAAAGGAAAAAAAAAAAAGAGACATTAAAATGAGTATGGCGCAAAAATGTCAAATAAAGTAACAATTCTAGTTCTTTAATAGTCATGTTACACCAAAAAAAAAACCCAGAAAAATGCAACACACAACTCATACCGAGAGACTGGCCTAAGAAGCCCACAAGGCCAATCCAAGAGATCAAAGACCAAGTGGACATCCATAAAATGACCTCCATATACAGAATG